AGTGATTCAAAGCTCCAAAATACATTTAAGCAGCTTTATTGGGTTTGTTTTTCTTGAAATTATGAAATTGTGTGTGTGTTTGTATGGGTATGTTTGTGTGGATTTATAATAACATTTTCTGAACATCCACAGTAACATTAGTACACATTTCAAAATGGGTTGTGATTATGATATGCAGCATATTGCATCAAAATTGGCAAAAAAAAAAAAAAAAAAAAAAAAAATGTGTCCTATCATCATTACAGAGTAATATAATATGTGGGTAACCATGTGACTTATTATTCTCAAACTTACTGGAGTGATTCATACAATTTATTGTTTGATGCTGTGTAACTTTTAACATAAAATAGATCCTTGGAACTCATTTTCAGTGAAACAGTGAATGCAATAAGATTGACAAATAACCACACCTCCTTCAGGCATTGAGTACAATATAGAAAAGCTGGTGGTTATATGGGTACATTGGAAACAAGTCTGAAGAAGAGGTGTGTTAGGCTTCGTTCACATGAAAAATCTATTTTCTAAAAATTATTTTCTATTCGTAGTATCTTGTGATCACGGTCTGTGCTCTGAATACCCCGCGGTGTAATTACTGGCAGCGCAAGCAAGTTACTTCCAAAGCTGTAATTAATTCTCGGCTGTGCTCGGAGTGATCACAAGATACCGCGAAAAGAAAATAGATTTTTAGAAAATAGATTTTTCATGTGAACAGAGACTCAGTCTGTATATCAAAGTGCATTCAGCAAGATTTCCCGTGGAGTTGGATCGATCTGTTTGGATCGACAGCTTCACTGTGAATGAGCCCTTGTTTATTTACAGGATAACATCTTACTGTAGCTTCTTTTTTTCCCTTATATCTTAACTAGTTATCTACTTTTAAATTGATGTCATTGGTGTGAGTGTGATTCTGCAAATCTTATCTGTAATTTAAATAGATTTCTCAATGTCTCTTTGTTTAAATACATATCAAATGTATCAGTGATTACAGATGGTTCATAAACTGCCACTTAACATGAAGTAGCCACATGTACTGTTTCCCAAGTGAGATAAATTATAAGACATAGAAGATATTAAAAAGTTGAAAGATCAAATATTTAAATTTATTCTGTATTGTTATGTTGTTGTATTTTAATAGTCATTTGTGTGGTCATTTTACTGATCCAATAACAGCTAAAAAAAAAAAAGAAGACAGTGTTTTCATGTTTTTCTAACACTGCATGCTAAATCCCTGTGTCATTAACTTTTTGCAAGGGTTAATGGGGATCCTGACTTCTCATTGATAATGAATTAAAATTTTGTTCCAGGGTCAATGCTAATTTTTGACTTATAAATGACAATATCCCAGTGTAGGTTAAATTTATTTCTTGGCCAAATGGTCATTCTCGCTATTTATTGACCAAGTGTATTGAAGGTTATGTTTTTTGGAGTTTCTAATGGTGGGATCCAAACAGATTTTGACACTTCATTTTATCACTTTAAGGGAAGTTTGTTCATATGTTGGCTTTGGCAGACTTTTTTTGGCTTATGAATACTGCAGAAAATCCTTCCAATCCCTAAAAAATGAGTAGAATATTAGTTATATCCCTAAACCAATTTTTTAGGGGATCATAGCTTTCATCTGTCAGTGGCAGCATGATATACTTTCCTAAAGTTGGAAAGTCACGGTGCCCTGCTGACCAATGATAACAAAATCTTGTCATTTTGAGTGTTTTTCTGTTGTATTTTTTAAATACCTGTTAGTCATTACCTTTTCTCCTTAAGGGTGGTCATTCTGATAAATGTAAACCCCTCTCAGGCTTTATCCAAAATATCACATGATTAGTTTGAATACCTCATCGGTCTTATTAAAATGTAAACAGAGAATGACCTGAAATAAGAACACAAATAACTTCTTTGAACTTGATTTTGAGTTAGTTGAACTCTCTTTCACAGTTGAGAGACTTAAATTTAACCTTAGCTATCATCTCCAAATCCTCAAATCCTCAGGTCATTGAACTGTCCTAGATAAGTGTTAGATAAAAATGAAATCAAGTAAAGTACCAGAAAACCACTTTATCTTATCACCATTGTAGAAGGGCATTTTGCACATTTTGGAGTTTTTGTCAGCTAAATGACTGCTATTACAAAGAAAAAAATTGTTAAAATAGAATATTTTGAAACTGCAAGGTATGATTATAATCATTGGAGCACAAAAACAAGATTAAATGCACAATCTATTGTGAACATAAGTTACATTGAGTGAATTTTTTATTTATATTTTTACAGTTTGTACCTACATATTACTAGATTTATATAACTGATCAATTGTATGAGTTACCAATTGATTTTTTTTTTTGTCAAGATTTAGGAAAATGAAAAAAAAAAAAAAAAAAAAAACATTATGTTCATTTTGTTTTTGTGGTTTACAAAAATTGGGGTTAATTTACACATTAAGCAGTTTTCTTTTTGGGAGTGCCTTTTTGCTGTAGTGCTTGAGATTGGAATTTGGCAGATGCTACGTCAACAGGTTAACGTTGGAAATTGGCCAGAACAGCTTATCCTTGGCCATAAAAGGGAAGAGAATTTTTAAAAAGCATGAGTGTGTGTGTGCTTGATTGTGGGTGGGGGTGAGGGGGGGGGGGGGGGGGCTCAGAGAATATTAATATCATATCTGTTTTATCATGAAGCTTCAATATTTGATGTAAGATTTAGCTTTTTTGATACATTCATAAAAATATACAATAGCACTTTGCCTAAAAAGTTACTAGTACAGGCATACTTTGGAAATATTTGGTTACCTGGAAATTATTAGTCTAGCTTACATAATTGATGCTGAAAACATTGTTTCTGATGGGCAAGGCTATGTCAGTTAATCTGTTTTCAGGTGCAAAATTGTTTTATCTTCAGTATTTTACATGTTTATTCTGCCTTTTCCCTGAAAAAGGCTACACCTATGTGTGGTAGTGTGCAAAGCACACATTAACTAAATCCTGTCTAAATTGTAGTTTAAAATGGTGATGGAAAGCTGCCATTTCATTCTCAACCTTCAATGCTATATTTTTATCAAATTTGTAAGCATGTTTTGCTGGTTGTCAACCCTTTACACAGCCAAGCACCCAATTATAGTTCTAAGTAAAGCTTGATTTTGGTAAATACTATTAAATACGGAAAAAAAAAATCACATGCACTATTTAACATAGGTTTTTGAAAGAGGCTAGTTATAGTTTGTTTGTTGATGTTAAATGGTCATGCATGCACATTCATTATGTATAGCAGTTGTCCTACAATTCTTCTTTTATTTTTTTTTGTGGTTTTTATAGCAAAATTTTAGCACCTATTTCCTTCCTTGATGTGTTCTAGTGATATGTAACTGATGGGTATCATTTTTAATATGCAAGTCTAGAAAATGTGGTTACATTAATTGATTTTCTTTTTTAATGGCATCATAAAGGGGCTTGATTGTGGCTTGGCATAAAAGCTTTCATGAATAAATTGTCAGCTGAGAAAGGCAGTACTTAAAGTGGGACATGATTTATTTCCAAAATATTACATATTATGCTGCACTTACATTGCGTGGCAAGGGGACATCATACACATACCCATTGTAATGGCTGCCTGGTTGGAAGGAGGCGTGATATTAGACCATGGGTCACATGATCCTGCATGGCACTTTCTGTGCTTTGTCTTTGGTCAGCCTTCAGTTGCACTAAGAGATTAATGCTTTTTTCAATACATAGATGGAGCCTCTGTAGCACTCTTTTGCCTTCTTTTAATTTGTATTTGTAGAAGCAGATAGATTAGTAGCAGCATTTTTTTCTTTTTAAAGGTCTGATTCAATGTGAATGGTTGGTCTTTGTATGTATATATGTATGTATGTATGTATGTATGTATGCCTATTACATTAAAGCAAAAGTAATGAGATACAGATTTTAAGAAGATATAACTTGAGGTTTGGCATTTTTTTCCGAAAAGCAGATGGCTTGAGTTGGGGATATCACAGCGCCATAATTTGTATATTTTTTGTCACATTTAAGCCAAGTTTGGTATTTAACTTAATATAAATGTGAATGTACCTGACCAAAGGATATCTTTTATAATTTTATTTGTTTTGCCAATATATCACTGTTTATCGAGATATGTTGGGGTATCTAAATGAAACAATTCATGTAAACTAAAGCAGTTACAACTGGAATTGTTTTTGATATGATAATCTTATTTTTCATGTTGTACACCCAAGGACAATGAGAATATACAATCAGCTGCTTGCCATTGTTCTTTTATCAACTTGGCCTACAAAAGGATATCCATCAAATTTACTCTGCCTTTTTATATGGTACTTAGTAATACTCACTAGATTTGAACAAAAGTATTCATCATATATATATATATCCTTGTTTTGGCAATAATCATAATCCTGTAAAAATAGATAGCTAAAATTTAAGGAAAATAAGTAATTTAGCTCATGTCTTTCTTGAGTAAGTAGATAAAGTTACTGTAATAAATCATTAAAATAAGCCATTAGAATGAGTGGAATGTTTTTCAGTAATTACTGTAGTTCATATTGTAAACAACTTGTACCTTTCCTCATTTGTTAGAGAAAGAAGGGATTACATAATAATATTTAGGTCCAAGTCGCTTGTTCTTTGTCTATTAATTGGCTTTGTTAGTGTACAGAAAATGAATGCCAACTCGTCAAAAACAAATTACAAATTAAATATTATCAGGTAGGTTTGTAAGTAGGATTTTACCAAGGGCCCTGCTGAACAAAAGACCAGACAACAAAAGCCATCCTCAACAAAGGCCTGGATAGATTTGGGGGTTGTTAAGTTGAAAGATAATGAGAAGTTCAGCATTCATGACCATTGAAGCTTGAGTTCGGCTAGTCAAAATGAAAAATGTTTTGTTCAACCTGCCAGACAGGTGGGGTATGCTTGCCTATGCAACTTGATGATAATATGGTTTATTTGCTGAAGAGAATTGTGAGGCCAGGTGTTGAATCTTTGCCCTCACCTTTTCTGTCTATCTTTTGCACTACCAATCATGTGAATGAAAGAATGTAGACAATATTATTCTGACATTTTACTGTACATCTAGTGCAAGCAAATACTCCTTAACTTGAAAAAAAGTACTTGTAGACCAATACCAATTTAATATGTTCAGTAGAATAGAAATGTGGTATTATATCATTTTCTTTGTCTTTTATAGATTTTGAACTTAACTGTAAACTTAAAATTGAAGTTTATTTTTATCCTCCAGTATCACTGACAAAAATTCTAAAGAATTTTGATCTAAAATAAAAGGCAGAGATTCATCATATAGGGCAAACAGTGCTCGCCTTGACAAGATAATTACAACAGGTGGACCAGCTTTCCTCAGGGGTGTTGAATGTTTGCTTCTCAACAGTCATTGATGAGCATCTATTTGGAGGTGAAGTAGTGTCCCTACAGAGATGCCCAGCGCTGATCCATCCTGAGTATATTGTATACACTGTATTACACAGTCATCTGCTCCCAAGGGGGACTTGGAAGTGATACTATCAGGTAAAACAGGTGCTTAGGTCTCCCACACAGAGCAAAGGAGGCTATTGCAAGCACATGGCCCAGACTAGCTTTTAGGGTGCAGTGGCAAACCAAACCTGAATAAGCATCAAGAGAAAGAGGAAGCATTTTCTCCTTAAACGGCTGCCTTCCTGGAATATTTATTTACTGGAGGAATTTCAGGTTAGATCCTGTAATGTGATGATGATTCATTGATTGAAGTTGGAATGGGAAGGTTAATATCAGGATTAGATTTGTTGGTTCTGTTTTACGTGTAACTTGTGCGTAAGAGGAGTCTGACTGTGCATTCTAAAACCAGGATCAGATATAGATATACATTTGTTTGACTGTTACTGTACTGATGGTTCACTTAATCTTCTCTTAATTAGATTTTTTAAAGATAAAAAAATAAATCAAAAAAAAATTATATACATAGAAAAGGAAAAAAAAAAAGTACTATCCTAGAAAGGTTCTGGGAATCTTTATTCAGCTCATTGAATAACTAATTTATCACCCAGTCTCTACTTGGAGGAAAGGGATAAAAAAATCAATATCAAGCATCGAGGCCAGCTAGCTTGAGCACTGCCAGGCAGCCAGAAACTATGGAGGATAGTTATGTAGCCTGACCATTGTTACCAGCTCTGTGATAATACCTCCTTATTAAAGGTCAGTGATTATAGACTAGCCTCTGATGGACTGGTGAGATATTGGTCAGAGGTTCTAGTGGACAGAGGGCATGTGTATATTGTGTGCCACCTCCCCCTCCACTGCTAGCCGTGTGGCAGATAGCCGCTGCAAGGAGACCTTTTCTGATTGGTCGGATTGAAGATAGTTCTTTACTATATCACCTGCAGAGGTTATACATACCAGGGACAAAGGCATTGTTGGTTAGAGACTGGCGCATGCCTCAAGGAAGAGACACTCTCAGGTAACCTGAACCATGCTTTAAGACAGAGGAGGGATATATTATATATATAGAAGGACATAGGCAGAGAGAGAGAGAGACCTTGACTCAGGTAGATATGGCTGTGCAGAGATGTTCAATATTCACAAAATATTAGGAATGAGGAGAGTTCAGCCATTGTAGAGGAGAGGTTTAAGAAGCAGATAAATTGTGAAAGTCTTAACTCGGAGGAAAGATTTCTTCCTGTTGTGGTTTTAAGACTAAACTGAGGAAGATGGAAACTTCCTGTTAAACCTAGGAATCAAAAGAGGTGGTTCTTCCCCTTTGTTTGCAGATAGACCTTAACTCACCCATGCTTTGTGGTGGGTGAGATAACTTTGAGTTTACTCATTCTTTGTGACCGTGACAGGGTTATTATCAAACAGTTAAAGACTAAAAGGGCCATGGACAGTGGGAGCCTTGTACACATGAACTGGTAGCTAAAGGAGAGGCAGTGGTGTGTGACAGGCACAGCTAAGGTCATGACGTCACAGGTATAAATAGTTGGGCTGCTGGCCATGTGGAGCTAGTATAGTACTAGTAGTTTGACTGAGCATAACACAACAACAGCTATATAGTGGTCAGGCTTTAAGTCTTTACCTGCGTGGATAAAACATGACTTGGGGTTTTTGTTGACAGTGGCTGGTCATCAATCCATGGTTTAACTTTGTGAACAGCACAAAAGGATCACAGTACAGTGTACAACAAATCGGTGGTATGTTGATCATTGAAGGATGTTTCTATTATATATATATATATATATCACCTGCAATCCAGTTTAAATTATTCATGTCCAGGTAATATAGCTTGATTGGCTTGCTATAGATGACATTCTTTATGTGATATAAAGGAAAGAAGACACAAAGGACTTAACTACCATTATGATCAAACATTGGATATCCATTTCTTAAAGGAGACTTCATGAAAGCATAGTAGAATAGAACAGGAAAGCTGAGATTAACGAGAAGTATCATGAATAATGCACCACTGTGATGCCACAATGATAAACGGAGTTGGCACAATTTCTGCAGAGAATTATAGTACGTAAGACAAGCGTGATTCGATTGAAGCAGAGGATTTACAGTCACAAATCTAAGACAGGATGATTGCAGTTTAGAGAGAGTAAACATATCACCTAGGTTTAATAAGACAAGAGAGGATCAGATTTCACAGTGGAAGAGAATTCTAATGGGAAATAAAAGGTCAGAGGAACAATAAAACACAGATACTGTATCATTGGTAATAGGCCAAGAAAAGGGGGAGGAATTTACATTTATACACACACACACACATATATATAAATTGAAGAAGGAACGTGTAGAGGAGAAATCCGCTCCACTGAACAGATATTACGATGGGTAAAAAAGGGCGTAAGAAGGTGGCAACTTGTGTGTCACTTACGAGCACTTTAGATGTGGTCAGCAGAGACATGTTTCACCAGCGTATGGAAGGAATGTCTATGAGTGACAGTTGCGAGGACTGTAAACGAGAGAGATTTTGTTCCCGACCAAAGAAAAAGAAAAAGGGAGAGAGTAGCTGGGCTAAAGAGGTAAAGAACAAATCTGGTTCCCCAATCATTATCAAACTGTCTGAAGCCTTCAAGGGTGGCGATAAAATGAAAGATTTGTTGAAGGCATCAGAGGAGGATAACAACGCAGAAATGGTGTCATATTCAAAACACCATCACCATCGATATCATCAGCATCACCACAATCAGCGATACAGAAATCACAGTGGAAGTAGCAGCAGTGGAGGGAGCTCGGCTGTAGTAAGCCTTAAGGCCAAAAACAGTAAGAATTTCAATGCATTCCTCTCAGCAATAGAGAAGGTTCACAAGAAGGACCGTCCCCTGGCTCCATACAACCTCCACCCTGGGTATCACTGGGGTGGGGAGGGCTACTGGGGCTGTAAAAACTACATGCCTCAGGTACTCCTGAATAATATGATCTCAAATCCAGGCAGCAGCATGCATGGGGCACACCACCCTGCAGATCATGCCTATGATCTCGAACATGTGAAATGGGAGAGTATTATTAAATCTTCAAATGTGAGTCTGATATGTAATAATCTCAACTCAGAAGTCTCGTCAGCCTCTGAGACACTTAGCACCACCACAGATGACTCTGAGAATTCCTCCATTGTCTCTACATCTGAGACTTTCTCCGATGATTCAGACAGCATTTCTCAGGACTCCTTCGCAGAGGAAGGGGGAGCTGGAGTTCTCAGCAGAGCAGAGGTGGAGAAACTTGCAGCATATACAACAGGGTTTCCTTTGACCAAGTTTGGCTGTTTCCACCACGAGTGCCCTGAGTGTGTTGCCGCGGCGGGGTGGTATTACCCTGGGGCTGCCTTGTCAGCATACCCAGGGGCAGTGGCATACATCCCAGATGCAACCTATCTTCAGGGAAGGAGCATCATCAGAGCAGAAGCAGACCTGCAGGAGGAGACTGTTGCAACTAAGGAAACATCGAAGACAACCCACACAGAAGAGCCTGGTAGTAAGAAGAAAACCAAAGAGGTGTATGTTCCCAGAAATTTAGACACTTCTGACTCTGAGGAAGAGAAAGTGGATGACTATATTGATGTTGATTCCCTGAAATACAGCAGTAATAATTACAACAACAACAACAGGGATTGGTATCTCTCACTCTTGAACCTGCCCAACACCCACTCATCTCCATCATCGTGTTCATCCTCCACATCCTCCAAACGACAACGAAGAAAGCGAAAGAACAAGACTAAAAGGCAAAACGCTCAAGATTTCCTCCCAGTGGAAGGGGTATACATGGATCTCACAGAGTCGGATGTTTCCATCACAGTGTACTATCATAATAATACTCCCAGCACAGGGCACCTACACAGTTTTTTCTACAATGGGTACTGGTACTACCCTGCTATGGAGTGCCCCTCCTTGTATGCCCCTGGGCCTTACATCCCACCTGTACACTGGCACATACCCCAGTCCTACTATTTTATGGAGCAGGACCTTGAATCCATCCCCAAGGAGCACATGATCCCACCAGCTGAGTTGCCAAAATGTAAGTTTGCTTGGATATTCTTTTTTCCACCAGCAGTCTGTGTTTATTTATTACTTTTAAGTTTAATTTATTAAGGGTTGGATATTTATACCTCACAGTTCATCCAGTTATGAAATCATTAAGTGGTTAAATCCAATGTATTTCTGGGATTGATTTTGTTGGATTGTGTTATTGAAGTGTTTCCTCGGTTGTAAATGCATTTTGAAAAATCATTTGTTTAACAGCTGTAAAATATAGCCTCAAATATATCAATGTCATATAGCTGCATACCCTGTAGGTGTAAATTGTATGTTCATTGAAATATTGCTTATAGAGTGATTCTCTGATTATGGTGGATAAAGAAATAGCACAAAAATTATTCCAAATAGAACTATTCTCTAACTAAAAAAATTACCGAGGGTAAAGCATTGAGGGGGTAATACCAACTGCAAAGCTTGTATGTTAAATACTGCAGAGGTATTCTAAGGTATGTTTGTTTCAAAATGTAGGCCAAATGCAGTCACTGGATTATATATATTTGAATGCAAATTTCATATAAACTTCCCCATGGTCACAGTGCTCTCCTCTTTTCGGGAAGCTAAGAGATAAAGTTATCAAATAGAATGATAACTCCCTACATTATTTACTGTCTTTTTCCCAACAGTTGTTGCCCCTGAAGGCTCATCAGGGGTACAAAAAATATATACATCTGTATAAATATAGCTTTCGTTAATGATTACTTACATGATAAAATGTCATGATAGACTTTTAGCACATCTGTGTCTGTATGAGATATCTTTGCCATGATAAGGGTCTCCTCTGCCTTTTGTGAACAATATTTGGAATGGTGAAGAATGCAACTGCATATATCTGCTTTAATAAAAGGGGTCCATCTTTATTTAGCTTTTTAGCAAAAAAAAAGAACTTGAAAGAACAGCAAACTCTACTTTGTTGTACATAATATTAGAAGTTTGCCTGTAAATTAGATGATCTGTTCATTAAGATATTATTTTTGCAATGTCAAGTGAGGATTGGTCTCCTTGGCTGTGCAATAATACAATCACTTCGCTTACAATTAGTTCTTTAGCTTACCAAATATCAAAAGACATTTTAGTTTTCAAGAGAGATAATGTGGCTAAGACAGCTATGTTGCCTATGTTATCACAGTGAATTGATTTGATTATTAGTTTTTAGCTTTTATGTAAGGTGTTTGGTTCACTGAGGTGTGTAGGATGCCGGGGGGGGGGGGTTGGGAATGATGCCAGATGGATTCCAGTTGTTTTTATTAGCTGTTCCTAATTGTACCTGATGACCATTTCTGTACTAGTGGGTGAGTAAGTGTAGGAAAGGATTTTGGAGCAGGGGGTCAATCAACATGTGCACTTACTAGTAATAAAACTCATTAGATTCATGATTCATTAGGCAGTGTCATTGATTCATTTAGGATTAAAAAGTAAGACCCTGTGTCACATACAGTCTGGTTACTTCAAAGGATGCTGTATTATATAATCTGCTTACAGTCCATTTGTAAGTCTCATGAACAGACCTATATGTATGCTCTTAGAATGTAGGTACATCAGTTTGAACCTTAGACCTATGTATCTCAAAGGAGTGTTGATCTTATGTTGAAGATTTACTACTCTTCCGGTAGACATTAGACAAGAAGTGGTACCTTGAGATAGCAGGGAATGAATGAGTGGCCTTGAAACCTGAATCATGGGCTATAAAGTGATTGGTGACAGTAATGGGGACTGTGGGCCATTTCCTTGGTTCAATTTTGGCTCTGGCCCTGTGAAATCGATCTATTTAAGACAGCAAAGTGTCGTACTCTGGTTATAACTCTATTTCTTTTGCTTGTGTCTATTTGAGATTGTCCTCTGACGGTGTGATACACACTGGTTGTGATTGCTAATGGAGTTGACATGCAGGACAGGAACATCTTGTTATCTTAAATTTAGTTCTGTTGATTTGTGTTAATTAAAGTCAGGATGCTCATTTTAGCAGCCTTTTGCAACAAATAGAAAGTGAACCTCCATTGTGTCATTGCTAAAAAATATTGGATTTCATTTTTTTCCCCACATCTTTTGTGTGTGACATTCCTATCACGTTAACAGGTTGAAACAATGTACAGGGGGAAAAATTGACGTTTTGAATGGTCAGGTATTTATTTTTCATCAGGTTGGCTCTGTTTATTCTACCACTATGGTGTTTTACCTATCGGGTAAACTGATGTGCTGATGATGTATTACATTGTCTTGTTGGTATTTTTCTTTCTAAGAATATAAGTGGGAAAGAAAGCATAAGTAATGTGTTCCATGTATTCATTTAAGTACTACTCCAGTCACCGGTGAAGGCTTTGTGTGCAAACATGAAAGAATTGGGAAACTTGCAGCTTGTTTTGTTTTGATTTATGCTTTGCACGTATTATCAATCACGCATTTCATTTTCACATCATCTCAAAGGAAAAATCAATTTTGTGTGTCATTGCTATTTTCACAAAATTGGCGTTCATTCCCAGAAATGCTCAGTTGACACAACCAGGGACTAGAAGCATTGTTCACGACAGTTTGAATTTAGAAATGTTTTGAAACAAGTTTAATTGCCTTCAAACACCATTCCATTCTCATTGTGATGTATTAAGCAATAATAAACTGCTTCAGCAGACTGTCATCACAATGGGCATCTTCCCAGATAGCCCAAAGTCAAACAATAAAGCGTAAAATCTAGCAAGTTTTGACGTATTTGGAAGATACTGGGGTCAGAAATAATGGCAGACTAACAAGTTTGGTGTGGCAGTGAATAAAAGCTGACAAAATATGATCTTTTTTCACTATTTATGTATTTATTTTTTATATGTTTCTTTAAAACCAGAACCTGTTTATCACCCCTGTCATTTTGTAATTTTGTCAATTTAGCAAGTGGGATTTGGAGATGGAGCCATCTTTACCAGGTTCCGTCATTTTTTGCTGCTCTGTTGAACCAGATAAGAGATTTATAATCAGTTGTCATAGGGTTTATTTCAGAAAATGTAAAATTTTACAAGCTCTGACATGCCATGTCATTCTTATTTGTTTAAAGAAAATTCTTGCATGTCTTTTGGGGATTTTCTTTACCTATTAACTAAAATGACACATGCACAAAATGAGCGAATGATTATGAGAACTATGTAATTGCATGTGAAAGAATGTTTCCAGCATTTATCTTCAAGGTGTGCTCTTTTCTGATTAGTTAATGCAAGTGAACATCTGATCTCAGTATAAGCAATAGCATTCTAAAATTCACAGGCCATAAAATGCCTTTCCATTAAAAATGTGGCATTTAAGCCGTAACTGCCCAAGTATAAGGCCAGGGTTAGATTTATTGCCAATGATTTTGAATCAGTTTTGGGAAGCACGTGGATTCTTTGAAAAAAAAATCTCACATTTTCTGTTGAAAAGTGTCTGGGTGTATTGATACGTTAATAATGTAGGTATCTTCTCTACATAAATGGAAATTATCTGAGATATCCTTAAACAAAGGTGTTGGCACTGCTTGACATTATTTGAGACTAGAAAATGTACAAGAATCTGCTTTTGGTGGGGCTTTTTATTAGCAGTTAGCCTTAGGGTAAAACTCTGTGCAACAGAAATGTCTTAAAAAGCAATACACTTGTAAAACCCAGTACATGGTACTCTTGTGCAGAACAAGATTATTTGGCAGAACTTGAAATTTGTAGGTAAAATTTGTAGATAAAATCTATGAGCTTTTTATTTGTCCTCAAGCTGAATTCACTAGTGTGTCATTATTTCTGACCCCTCTCTCCTCCAAATCCAGCACAACCTCACTTTATTTCATTGTAAGGCTTCGTTCACATGCAATGTCTATTTTCTAAATTCTATTTTCTATTCGCGCTATCTTATGATCACGGTCTGTGCACTGAATATCCCGCCGCGTAATTACTGGCAGCGCGAGCCAGTTACTTATAGTAACTTATAG